CTTGTGCACACACCACCCCACCCCCCTAGGAACGGTGCCGCTGTCCCATACACGTTCCTGGAGGGGCCGGATGTCTGGTATGCGGCCGACCAGCTGGCGCGCCAGGACGAGTGGCTGCACGTTGTGAACGATGTGCAGATTGCCGAGCTGGAGTCAGCGATTGAGGGGGTCCTCAAGAGCGGCCTGGCCAAGCTGGACGACACGGGCAAGTACCTCAACTTCGTGAGTGACCCTGCCTTGGACTCCTTGCATTCTGGGACTGGTGGGGCCGGCAGCTGTGGAGGTCAAAAACAAGAGGAATCGATGCAATGATGACAGCGTTGGTTCGCCGGATCGCTGGTTTGCCACACGGCGAACGCAGACCCTAGATTGCCCTCTTCCCCCATAGTTTGTCAGTGACTTCTCATCACCTCGATACTCACTGCACGCGGTGCCCCTCGCAGTCATTTGAGGCGACCCAGGCCGACTTCCCTCTGCCGACTCTCGGCCCGCTGCTGCTGTCTATTGCGGAGGACTGCAAGCGCGGCCGCGGCTTCGGCGTGCTGCGCGGCCTGCCGGTGCAGCGCTGGACGCGCATCCAGGTGCGCACACGAGCCTCAGGCTCATGCTTCTGACGGCTGTGGGTGACTGCTGTCTGCATTGCCGGAAGCCTTGCCTGTTTGTCGTGCTGGTTTGGGTCTAAATTAATTCACTTCAACGCAGACGAATGCCCAAATACGAGTCTGTTCACAATGGATGGCTGACAATGGTTGCCCTCTGCGAGCAACCATCCCGAGCAATCTGCACCATCCTGATCTGGAGACCCACAACCTCGCATTTGGTATCCACAGAGCCTGATCGCCTACTGGGGCTTCAGCCTCTACTGGGGCAGGCTGCAGCACCAGGTGAGCTGCTGAGCAGTGATGTCTCACTGCTGTCGGCGACACGGCCTGGTGCTGAGCCCCACAACAACGATACAACCACTTGCATGCGTGCATGCCTTCCTCACAGCCAGCTGATGGGCACCCGCAGCGCGGTTGCTCGCCTGCATGCAGCGCACGCTGCTGCCTGAAGCTTGACGCAATGCCTGGCTGCCCCTGCGACGCTGCAGAACGAGAAGGCTCACCTCATCGGCCACGTGAAGGTGCGGCCAATGAGGCACCATGTGATCCTCAACCACACACAACTCCACTTTGGTGCTTAACCGTCAAAACTGCTTGCACGCACTTCGTGTCACCACGAAAGCGGCTGGAGCCATCGACATGTGCTGCGAGGCCACCTTGTTCAATCCTGCTGCTGACCATCATCATGCCACCTTACCCTTGCTTTGTCGCCTTGTTTGAGCTGCAGGAGGTGGTGGACCCGACCAACGCCAAGAGCACCACCCGCCTGTACATGACCCGCAAGGCGCAGCCCTGGCACGTGGACGCCTCCGACCTCGTCTGTGAGTGTCGAGGCGCCCCAAGGTCGCAGATGTTGTCATTCATTGCAATGCAGTGTTTGTTGCGTGCATGCCGACCTGCTCACTGCGGCAAACTTCCCACCTCCTCCCCCCTCTTCTGCACCCTCTCTTCACACCTCTCCCTAGCCCTGCTGTTCCTCAAGACCGCCAAGTCTGGTGGCCTTAGCGGCTGGGCCAGCTCGTCTACGATCTACAATGAGATCCTCAGGTGTGTAGCTGCACATGCCATGGGGCCTTCCTCCCATCTAGCTGCCCCAGCAGTCTTCCCTGGCACAGCCTGCTGCGCTGGGATGGTCCAAACCCTAACTGCACATAACCTGGAAAGGCCTGCCGCGTTGCGAGGAGGCTGGAAGCATCTCACCCATCACAACACCTGGGTTGCTCCCTCACAAGGCCTAGAATCTCGATCATTGCCAATTTTCCCTGCTGCCAACTCCAGGACGCGGCCCGACCTGATCCCTGTGCTGGCCGGCACCTGGTACATGGACCGGAAGAAGGAGGTGCCCCCGGGCAAGAAGCCCTACTTTGTCCTCCCCATCCTCAACTGGCACGAGGTGCGCAGGGGCGGGGAAGTTGTTCATGCCAACCATCCCAGTAGAAGCAGACAAGTGCGATGAGACTGGGTGTGCATCAAACCTGAGACCTGGTCAGCCTGGATTCAGACTTCCTGTGTGCGGTGGACCATGTAGTACGCGCACACACCCACGCTCGCACGCACGCAAACACAAACCGTAGCCCTCAAATCAACCTGCTGCCGGTTATTGCACCCACCACTATTGTTTCACCCCAGGGCCACCTGACCATCTCCTGGAACGACACGTACTACCAGCTGCCCCCCAAGCTGTACCCGGGAGAGGTGCCCCCGCTGACCCCCCAGCAGGAGGAGGCCATCCAGGTCTGGAGGGACACCGCCTCCAGGTGGGCGCCTGGTAATTGTAATTACCTCCCCCCCTTCCTCCCCGCCCGTCGTCCCGTCTACCTCACTCCGTCAATTTACTGGACAATGCGGGTGTTGGGGCAGCGACCACATGTTGTTTGTGGTGGGAGAGGGCATGTGAAGGCAGGCTTGGCTTAGTAGAGGGACGATGGAGCTTTGGAGCTTTTCACCTGGCTGCAATGCACCAGGCGGCCCAGCTGCCTCCTGTAGGCCAGCTCATCTGCTGTCTGGATACATGTCTGATTCAACTGTTTCCCCTCAACCCCCTGCCAAAGGCCCGACATCTCCATCAACATGTGGCTCCAGCCGGGCGACGTGCAGCTGCTGCAGAACCACAACATCGTGCACAACCGCTCGGAGTTTGAGGACCACGAGGTTGGTAATGGCCAGCGGGTGCTCCTGGCCACGTTCGGTTTCCTCCGCACTGCTGCAACCAAGTCCCGTGCGTGCCCTTGATGCCGCTGCACTGCCTTGCATACGACTGAGAGTAGGGAACCCTGAGTTCACTTGGGTGGAGAACGGTGAAAGCCTTCCACAAAAGCTCTGTTGCAAGCATATCTGAGCATTTCCCGCCACAACCTTTGCATCTGCAGCACGTCGACGACAAGCGCCACCTGCTGCGCCTGTGGCTGTCGCCTGAGGACGCCAGGCCCCTGCCTGAGCACTTCTCGGACCTCTGGGGCGGCGTCACGGTGAGCTTGTGCGGGAACAGGAGCAAGAGAGGTTGCCATGAACACCTGATTATGACTTGGGTGCATCAGCCTACGTGTTTGACAAATACAGGCATGAGAACGTACCTGATGCACAGTGCAACATAGGCAGCCCGCCTTGCGGCTGCATCTCATCTCTCACCTGACAAAAAAACCGGAACCAACCACGCCATCTCCTCACCTGCATCATCCCAACAGCCCGGCGCCCGCGGTGGCGTCGGCTTCAAGACTGGCCCCGAGGGTGGTGTCTTCCCTCTCGAGGCAGAGGTGGGGCAGCAGAAGCTGTAAGAAGCTGCTGGCCCCGCCAGGACAGCCTCAAGAAGCTTGCTGGAGCATTGACAAAGGAGCTTCCCGAAGCTGGCTCCTGGGCAATGGCAGGCAGGGCAAGTGTAGCGTGTGCCTTCTGGCCACCTTATCTGCCTGTCTGCACGGCTTGGGAGACGGCGACGCAGAGTGCGTGCTCAGGTGCCACTCCCTGTCAATGCTCCGAGCGGCAACAGATGCTTTGGTCCAGCTGGGTGGGTCGCACTTTGGCCCAGCCAGCTGCAGCTGGTTCAGCCGTCCACATTCTGGTCCTCCCTAGGATCAGCCCTTGACAACCCCCCTTAAACTTTATCGCCGCAGTCGGGAAGTGTGGCCTGCGCGCACTTCATGCATTCCCTGCACCCGGCGCCATTAAGACCCTGCACGTGCAGTGCGCCTCAATTGGGGAAGCCTGCGCCCACTTCGAGCAGCACTTTTTGTTGGTCCCGTGATTGAACTGAACTTCGAGCCCTGTACGATCGTTGCACAAAACGCCGTATGCCTGGGCGGCAGCAGCCTGCAAAGGCTGTTGGCAAGTAGGCGTGCATGTGAATCCTGTAAATGGTCATGGCTGGATGCGGCACAGTTGTGGGGGTGGCGCAAACACCAAAGTGATGCAGCATGTGCAATTAATGGACCTGTGGTGTCAGCGAGGCCCGTGCAGGGCGCACACCAGCTGGTGTGCTCGCGGGGCCCGCCCAAGAGGGAGGATAGACAGCACGGCGCTGAAGCAGTGGCACTTGGCGTGTTCTGGAGGCGCCCGGCTCAGGTGCTCCATCAGGCTGTGCAGGCCTCCATCAGTGAGCTGCATGCTGATGCAGGCTTGTGGTGCATCCATTTGGGCGGGAGCTGGCATCTAGCGGAGGGGGCGGGTAGCAGCCTGAAAAGCCCTGCTGATGGTAATGAGGTCTGCAGACGGCCGCATGGCTGGAAAAGGGCCGGTGGGCCGGGCCTGGGCTGCGCAGGAAGGGTGGTGGGCGCACTTTGGTGTAGAGTAGAG